AAGAGGGTATGGTATTGAAGAGTAGGAGAGCAGTAAGTAGAAGAACAAGCAGTAGAGAATTTGAGTGAAAAAAATTAGGTGAGTTATCTGAGATGAGAGTGAAGATTGAATCTATAAAGCTATAAATAAGAAAAAAGAAATAAAAAGAAAAAGCGATGCAATGTAACAAATAAAAAATCATGCAACTTACTACCTGGTGATGTTACGACAAGAAAGGCTTTACAACTATAGATCTCTCTTTTGATTTCTACAGATAAATAAGGTCGCCTTAAAAGATCGTGATTTTACGAATCGGGCGATACAAAATTGCCGAAACAGTAGAAATTATCACATCAATTTAATTAACTGACTAATTTATGTGCGACATAGACTGTAGTGACTAATAAAGACGTGGCTAAGCAAGAATTTAATGAAAATCGTAAACTGACTGAACCAGACTGAAAAACGGAAAAAAAGCTGCGAGTGAATGTGTCAAATTTCTAGGTTTGGTAAATAAAAAAATTGTTAAATTAGTTAACAAAATACCGTCCATAGTTCAAAATTTTTGGTTCGATCGTTACACATTGGCAAAGAACCCCGCACATTTCTTATAGAAAAGTACCCCGGTCAAATTGCTCCACTCTGAGATATGTTTTGTAGTTTTTATGGTTCTGAACAAATTTTTCTCCATTGTCTCCATCGTCAACTGCTTATAATTAGCAAGTTACATTATTTTTGTATTAGAATTTTCGACTTTAATTAATCTCCAAGAATATGCATTATTCTATTTTTTAAGTATTAGTTTTTAAAGTATACACACGAGAGGAATTTTATATTTAATTTTATATATTTAAAATATACTGAAATTTTTCTGGAAACAAAATGTGCATAAATTCTTCTCTAAAAGTCCTAACAAAATTATAAGTTCTTTAAAAAAACCAAGGTACACACCCGTAGAATTTAATTTGACTTTTAAATTTAATTTAAAAACTGCCTTGCGCATATGTATAATCCGCTAAGAGTTACATTGTTTAATCGGAATTTATTCATGCGTGCTTGTGTACGCGACCGACATTACAATAATCATATGCATAGAAGTTTGGCGAAGCCAGCTTCTACCACTTCTGCTTCGCTGCTACAAAAATATCCTCCACGTCGACTTTACCAGCTTCCTATCTTTTGCCAACCACAATTTATCTGCACTCGATGTACCGTCTGTGTGTGCAATATGTATCCGACCGATCATTACCAGCTGAATGACCATTCAGTCGGCGTAAGAACATCCTTCATTATCCATCATTATTAATAATATAACGCCGATATCGTATTAAATACCATTATCGTCATCAAATACCAGCATCTGGAATAAAAATACGAATTCAAATAAGATTACCATTCTTGTGTCTATGCCAAAACTCAATATATTTATAAAATAATAATAATAATAATAATAATAATAATAATAATAATAATAATAAGAGTTACATGTTTTTTAAGATCCAAGAATTGAAGATTATCTTACCTAACATTACATTTGTTTTAAATATCTATTAACAATATCGTATACATAAACTACATTATACGCTATACAGAACGATTAGAAGGAAAAGTCCGAACATCTAGAGAAAAACGACCCCGCAGCATTCTAGAGCTCCTTGAAAGTCAATTTAGCACTCCGCGTGTAATATTCGGCAGATATTAATTACTGTCCGCGCCAAAAACGCATGATCGAAGCGGGAGAAAAAAAACCGGTGCTCTCTCTTCGTGATGCGATAGGTAAGCTTGACGAGCGTCGATGACGATACTTACGCGTGACGAGTAATTACATGTGTCTCGCCAGCTTTGACGTATATCGGCGGCGCGTTGCTGACGACAACGATGACGTTACCGATGCAACTAACCTACCGTAATCGAAAACATAATAGTGCATCAAACATAACCGGAGACTGGTAAATCTTTGGAACGGGGGAACACGATGGGCAAGCTGGTTCACGGTGGCCGAGGCCGAGAGCGCGACCTGAGCTCGCGCGGCTAGCCTGCGATTACTTAGCCAGCGTTCATTATCTTGCTGGCGCGTATGCTCGCCTGCTATCCGCGAACCTTATCAGCGGGCCGTTTGCGACACATTCGATATTCCGGCGCGCTCACTGCCCCAACTCACCATGAACTGGCAATTGGTCATTTATGGTAAATACGCTGAGCCGCTGAGCCGAACGGACCCGAGAGAGCCCCGTCCATTCAATATCACAACGAGATAGAAAAGGAATTTGGCCAAAGAGAGACAACATATGGTCAATAATGACTGCCAATTAAAAATATTTAATAATGAATACGATTGCATTGTTACATCGCTGCGAATGCGTTTACTGCTCATTATGATGATTGAAAGTGCAATTAAGCTTTAATAAAGGCGCTTTTGCTAATCATCTCATTTAAATGTATTTCAAGTTGTGCAATTATAAGCATTAATGTTTTAATGAGAATTTTATAAAATGCGAAGTAAGATATTAGACGTGTGCAGCAAAGAATAATGCCTTCTATTATATACGCCAAATAAATTAATTACTTTATAGCATTCATTTCTTCTTTCATTGCCTTGCAAGTTATCAATTTCATCCTCTATTTACGATGTATTATTACCGCATAATAAAGACTACAATAGAGTATTCATTGACACGCAAAGTCATATAAGTAGCCGACGCCGCTGCTTATTTTACAACGAAAATACTTTATTATTGCGGTAATTTTGCAAATTTATACTGATTCGGCTCGATTCCGTTGATGGCATTTCACAATCGCGTCAAGCGAGAGATGAGGGATAGTGAGTTATTTCAACCGCGCGCGGCAGCCAGGCAGTGTCGCGCGTCGTCAATGAGAGATATCCTTGTATGAACAATGGACCAAATGTTAATTGTTGTTAATAAAGAGTCATGTATGTTGCTGTTGCAACGGCGAGCAGAGCCGCGGAAGAGGCTGTACCTGTACCAGCCGTGCGCGAAGCGCAAACACACCTGAAACCTTTGACCTTTTCATCGACGCTCGCCTCTCCTGCCGGCGACCATCGATCTTTCCCTTCGTCCGCCCCTTCGAGCCCTTCGTCAAACTGCAATCCCATCGAGCGTCGTGGTGCGCCCACCGGATGCGACGACGTCTCCTCTGAAAGCGAGATCATGATCGGCGCGCTTGATTTGATTACACGAGGATGAATATATACGCCGATCGCGTTTTGCAACTCGTAGCTTTCAAGCTCCGAGCTCGTATGCGCGATAGCGAAAAAGAGGAAGCGTCGAATCCCATCGGAGTTCTGAAACGAGAATAAAAAAAAAATTGAAACTGCTGCAACGCGCAACCTGTACAACACAATTTGTAATAAAAGCAGATCTAAAACGTTCGTATAAAAATATGTTTTATGTCGGATCGTCCATTTTCGAAACCTCGTATAATTTCAATGTAATTTTTATGTGCTTGACGCGCCTCTATCTTTTGCTCGTGTGCAAAAATTTTCCAAGTTTTCCAAATATCTGGCGTCCAGAAAAATGTGTTACATCTTCGTAGCTGACTTCTGAAACCGAGTCTGAAACGGATATATTCCCCGCGGGCGCTGGCGAAACGTTGGTCCAGCCCTGATGTTTCGTGCGCTATTTTTGCTTCAATTGCGATCTCGCAAATATAGCAAATGTATGCGGCGCGGAGGGCACGGCGCGCGGAACAGGCGGAGCGGGTTTGGCCCGGTCCTTAATAGCCATCAATCATTGCCAAAATTCGGCAACGCGTCGGACAACACGGGCGGCAGGATACTATCACCAAAGTAGAGTTCTCCGGGACCAACGGGACGCAAGGAGAGCACGGGGACAGGGGAAGGGACCCGGAGTGAGACACGGAACCCGTTCGATACTTCCGAAAACTCGGCCCGACCGCTCCACGCTCCGCTTGCATTCACACGAATCCACGTGCTACCAGCACGAACGCGCGCTCAAGCACCAACACGAGTAAGATTGGCCCAGTAGAAAGGGAAGTGAATGGAGTCGGTGTGGTATACGCAGAGACTTATTCATTTTAAGCGAATTTAAACATTGCGATACATTTTAAAATTACGACAAAGAAATCTGTTTAATCCTTTCGTGCGATTGAAATTCCATCTTTGAATATTCTTTAGAATTTGTCGATCAAGAGAACTTGATTGAAAAAAGGTTTCACGTACATATAGGTTTTCACTTAGATACAAACGACCTTTCTACAAAATATTTGACTTGCATCTCTCGAAATTACATTTCTGTAATCTACAAGAGCACTAATTACATTTCTGTAATCTTCGTTACAGATCGCATCCGTGCACTAGGGGATTAAATAACCGGCTCCGATGTTTTCCCCGTGGACGTTCTCGCTCGCTGACGATGAGATACAAATCGAGGGCGCGCGTCGATAACTGCAAAAAATCCTCGCGAACGTGTCAGCGGCAGATTTCAGTTAGATTTGAGAGCGAAACACGATTACGCGATTACACGATTCCGTCTTTTCGGATGCAACGGCCGATACAGATGACGCGATACTGCCATAGCGAGCGGAAACGGAGCGAGCTGTAGGGTCCGAAGATTAACCGGGGAGTCACCCCGGCTCGCCCCAGCCACCCACTCACGAACACGCGTGCACAGAGGGAAACCGATGATCTTGCTTCCGCGGTGGTGACTCGAGAGAGCGTGTAATTAGATATCAAGTTAAATTTCACGTTCGGTCCTATACGGCGGGCATCTATATTTCAAAGCACACGCGAACTTCCCACGACTGCCCGGACCACGGGAAAAGTTTACGCGGACACTTAATTGGAGAGTATATTCGATGCAAATGTCATTTGCATTTCAAACGAACGTCTAATGACAGTAATGATATGACGGCGACATTTATTTGCCTGCATAAATCATGACCGAAGTCCGGGTGGGCGGATACGCGCGTCGCGGTCGCCGGGAATATCTCACGATCCCGGAAACTTCGGGGCAAGTTTGTCTGTCCTTTAAATACAACGTGCAGAACGAAAATTGCCTATACGCGTGCACGAAGCGCGAGTTATGTGCGTACAGAGTATCCATTCGCGTATGAACAGAGGATTAATACTGTACGAGTCGTTCAAGTGTCCGAAACGTTGTACATCTCTCAGTCTCACGTTGCATTGTAACAATACTTAAAATATCAGAGTAATATAATAACACCACGCACAGGGAAATATTATCCAGTAAAACTCTTCGAAAATTTAAATTAATATATGTCATTAATGTCACGTAATTACGTAATACAACAGTCAGATATTTATATCATTACATTGATAATATTATATACGTAAGAATCGTAAAACCAGAGTGCATCGTAATTCAGCTATTTGCCAGAAACTCGAAAAAAAAAGAATTGTAAAGTAAATCTTATCGTTATTACGCACGACGAGTTCAGCCGTGATAATTTTTTCGCGACAAAATACTTTTACTACGAGCATAAACGGCAGCCTTTATCTTCTGTTTGCCGATCACACGAACGTGCTCGCCGCTTGCACAATCTACCGCTTCGTGAGACCGTGAGCTGGACCGTGTACGTACATATACGTGAGTCTTAGGTCGTCTGACGTAACGTACGTAATTGTCCGGTGTACATGTATCCGGGGAATATGCGAAACAAGAGTCGCATTATGTCGTTCGCGTACTTGCGCGAAACCGTCGTGTCTTTTCACGTGAATGAACCGCAGCGGACCGCAGCCGGACACGCATTCTTACGCGAAGGATGGTTCTCGTTTCGATTTTTTCAGGTATGGCTCCGCCCACCCCTCTTCTATCTCCGAACATGAATCGCAAGAGCGAGAACGCTAAGGCGTGGAGAGAAGACGCGATATTTTTAGACTCTTTACAGCATTATATCGCGTACTTACTCCGAATACTTGGATACACCCGTATATGGCCCACCGAGTCGTTTTCGCTACTTAAAATGTTGCTTTTAACGGGAACGACGATTATCTTCATATCGGCACTCTTCCTACTCCTGCTCGCGGAAATACTGATGCTTACGATGAACATCAATTTGAAATTATTTGCTAGCGTCATCGGAGTAATCAGTTTGCATTGTACGGCCTTGACAAAATGGTGTTACTGTATATGGAAAAATAGAAAAATCGTCGACCTCGTGATGAAGTTGGAAAAATGTCACGTACTTTGTCAAAGGATCGATAAGAGCGACGAAGGTACATGAATTATTTATTGTCGTCAGTGTAACTTATTTGTGATTTCATTATAAAACTTTTAAAATATATATCGCGGAAGGTGATATTTTAAATCACTTTCCTATTAGACGAAAGTAAAACGAGATTGTGTTATTAATTACGTTGCATTGCACGACTTTTCATGCTTCAAAGTTAATGAATATTTACGAGATAATTTTCCGCGCAAACTTCAGAAATGCAATCCCGGTTCTTCAATATTATATATAAATATAGCTTCTTTCATGAGTTATTAATATTTGAAATTACTATTTCGGTATATTGAGATTATAACGTAACAAAGATCTTTTTATATCAGGACATCGAATATATAGAAACGAAATGGAACACGCGCGTAAATATTCCAATCTCTTTACGTGGTGGTGGGGAGGCTCTTGCATTTACGGCGTTCTACATTGGAGTGTCAATCCATTTTTCCTAGGAATGGCACCCGACCAGATAAACTCGATTAATCGCACATTAAAAAAAAGAATTTTTCCGTATATTGCGTGGTATCCGGTGAACATCGACGATACTTACAATTACGCTTGCCTGTATCTCATGCAGGTACTCGCCGCAATATCTTCTGCGCTTGGAACTCTTTGTTACGACGCTTTTTACGTCACCATGCTGATAGTCATCTGCATGCAACTTCAATATATCAACGCCATAATACCGATAAAAATAAATTTTGATAAGTATGATTTATGTTATCGATTATTTTAAGATAAGCTCGTTTAATCATGGAAATAAGATATTTTTGGAAAATTACAGCGTGCCATGTTCAGAAACCACGTTCATTCTCGAGGACAAGTTAAAGAAATGCGTGGATTGTCACACAGAGATTTTAAAGTAACATTTTCACTAGATCATTATGTAGCGGAATTATAATGTAGTTATATGTAATTGCTATATCTATATATACATTACGAAGGGAGAGTGATGTAATATCTCGTGAATCCAATAGCTCTAATGGTCAATTTTGCATATCACAATTCTGAAATAATCTTTTGTTAATCGCATTTAAATTGATCGTATTTAAGAAATATGTATACTTCTAGATTTTTAAAAATGTTGCAAATCTTTACCGGTCCAGCAATGTTCCTGCAATGTGTCGACACGTTATCTATTCTCTGTTTAGTCTCGTTCGAGGCATCAGTAATTAAAATTGCGGTACGAATTATTCTATAAGATCTTCGGTCTTCGGCAATATGCGCTAATTTCATGAACTGAATACTCTGTACACTCAGTGCTGGCATTCGAATTATTAAACTACAAAATTTGCATCTCGACAGATTGACATGGAATCTATCATGAAGTTATTGGCTCTGCTGGAATACTTTTTATTGTCCGCCTTTGAATTGTTCGCTTTCTGTTTCTGTGCCACTCAAATCGAATATTTGGTTAGTTTTGTTTATGTCAGTTTTTTACTTTTAAGAACTTTCAAACGAAAACAATATACAGTAAAAAACGCCAATCCACAATTATTAAATACAATTACATTAATTTCGACTTTTGTATCATTCTAGGGCTTGCAAATAGCACATTCAGTGTATTCTTGCAGATGGGAGCTTGTAGATTTAAAAAAAAAAACATATGTTGTTTCCGGAAAACAGATAAAACATTGTAATATTGGTCGAACAGTGCAAATCATTATGATGCAAGCGCAGAGACCGATTGTTTTAACCGGCGGTCCATTTTACGTCCTTTCAATGGAAACTTTTAGAGTCGTAAGCAACGTTATACATAACTTTTATACATTTATATATTTAATTCATATTTTATTACTGAAATTGTATATTTAACTGTATAAAACGCAATTATATATGGCGTTCTCTTAACATTCGTTTTCTTTTTGCATTATTATACATACTATGGTACATATTATGCAAACAAACGTTTTTTCCTATTAATGAACATTATAATATATTTTTATTAAATTATATTTTCGCACAAAGTATTTTTATAAAAATTAAGTATAAATCTGAATGTGAGAATTACAATTGTAATTTGCGTGTTTATCTAAATAATAGAAAAATTTGTCGCAGGATTTATTCATTATTTAAATAAAAAATATAAATTTTATATTACAGATAATGAGTGTGGCAATGTCAAATTCTCTAATGTTGCGTACGATGGCATCTAAATGAATAAATTAAAATTAATCCGTCTACATGTCTTTGTTCTTAAAATATATAAGAGCGTGTCTGATAGTAACAAAATATTGTCTGATAGTAACAGTTGAAGTGAAATGTGTGTATTGTAATTGATTAAAGATGATATATTCCGCATAATTCTCTACATACGTCTATCAAAAAAAATTTCCTTACATAAAAAATAAAGCTTTTTTTTTATCGTACGATACGAGTCCATGATTGAACGTTGCTCACATGAGATTAGTAGTCAACTGTGACAAAAGCTTGCATGTATTTATACTTTCCTAATAATACAGCGATACACAACCGACAGATGATTCGCATAATTAATATGTATACAAATACAGATTAGAAAGCCGATTATCTAAATAATCTAAAAGAAATACAAATGTTTCTTGATATAAAATTATAAAATGTATCTATTTCTTTAAAAAATATTTTAGAGATCTCTTATTTTATTTATTTTTAATACTATTTTAGATGTTTATTATTATTATAGTAATATATACGATTATTCTCATAAGTATTAAAGTTAATTGAGATTTAAATGACTCTGTAAACTTTTTCTAGACATAAAATTATGAAGACATTGATATTGATAAATTACTAACAACTGATTGTTTAGATGTTCGAATAGCCGACTTCTATTTCAAATATATTATAATTACAAAGGAAATTAATTTCAGCAATTTTTTATTATTCAGAAATGTAAAAGAGATTATTTAATACTGAAGTATACATATTCGTTTTAGACTAATAGAGCTTCATTGTACGCCAGACTCTTGTTGGCTCTTAAAAGTCATTTCTCGCCGTTTCATCACATGCCTGGCTAAAAGTAGGGATGGGATATGCGGTGAGAGGAAAGAGTACGAATGGAAGGGATTCCCCCCGATAGAGTGGGGATACCGTCCACAAAGAGAGAGGAGATGCCATCCACCTACAACCGTATAAGAAGCCCGCGCTTCTACCAGGGGACCATGAGAATCACGTTGGCTGCGGTCTACTAACTCTTTCGCATGCTATCTTATCACGGCAGCTACGTGTCCTGACGAGGCAGCTTGGATTCCACGAGTGGACTCGCCGCGGCGGCTCACTTCCCGCTGCGTCATGCGCGCCTGGCATCCGAAAGTTGAGATTAGAATGCACGTGGTCACCCTTCTGGAATCTGGTCGTTCTATAGTGACGAAGATGACGGGTTGACGATCGGCGATCTCTAGTTACCGCCGTAGATGTGCCTCGTTCGAGCGTAAGTAGATAGTGTAGATACGGTTGCCCGCAGTCAGACGCTAGACTCTATTTACCGTTTGTCAGCTACCGGCAGGTAGCATCAATACTACTCGTGGTGAAATTCAATTTCATATTTTATAACAATAGTGTTGCCCGAATCAATAAAAATAAGAAAAGAAATGGATTCGTATATCTTATACATAAAATAAAGAAAACAAAAGAATAAAATAATAAATAATAAAGTAACAATAAGAATATGATAAAAAACGTTATAGTATTTTAAGATAAAATACACACACAATATATAAGATAAGATATAAGAATCAGACATACAGAGAAAAATAAAGGAGTGGGAATAATTTTGTTTTCTTTTTATTATTAAATACAGATATATTACTTAAATGATTTAGATTTAGATAAAACAAGAAATAATAATAAGTAGTAAAATAATAAAAAATATATAAAAATGATAACGCGATAAAACAATGTAAAATAAAATAATAAAGTAATATAAGAATTAGAAATAGAGAGAGAAATAAAGGAACAGAGACAATTCAACGTCTTTCATTATTGAATAGCGATTGATTAATCATGCATGTAAATTTATACAAGGCTTCGTATCTTGTCATACGTAACGATATATTCGCGACTAGATATTTCGCGGCTAGGCGTTTTTCGCGATTCTTGGCCCGGTATGATTCCCTGATCGTATATCGGCGAGTCGCGCAGTCCTTGCGGCGACATTACGCGTCGTTCCGCGTGCTGGGTCCGCGGTCCGTGGCGTCGTCGTTAGCCGTCGAAGGTGGGCATCGAAAAAGGCGAGAGCCGGTCTTTCGTCGCGCGATTACGTCTCGATGCACACGTACGTATCGTTAACACTCGCCAAGACTCCTCACCTGCCCATCAAAAGACGTAAAGTCAGCCGCATTGACCAACCGCCGACCCGGGAAGTACGTGAACGAGGAGGTTGATCGCGCGCGACGCGGGACTGCAAGCCCGGCGCGGAAGTGCCCGGGTAGTCACGTGACCAAGCTCGATGACCCCGCAGCCGGTGGCGGTGGCGGTGACGCCGCCGGAGACACGTTCGCCAGCCAGCACCGCCGCGCTCGCATGTTCTCTTCGTCGTTACTTGGCGAAATGTGGACGCCTTTCGGGAACTGTTTTTCTTGGCACCCTGAAGTGTATGCCAGGGTGCCACCGATTGTCCGTAAGGGCGTATCGCGAATTGCGACGGGAAACGCGTGGGACTTTGATGAAGCTACAATGCCTAATGTGTAAACTCCGGTACAAGCGCTCGCGGATAAAGCCGATGCCTGTAAGCCTCTCGAACATCGTCTTCCCAACGGAAGCTAACAACGTTTGAGCAATGATATTTTTTCTTGAAATTGATTGAATTTATAAATAAATCTATGTTTCTTAAAATAGACCATAATTATGTTAATTATGAAATTTTCACCGCTAAAACTGAATATTTATTTCGACCTTTTTATTATATAAATTTTCAATCTCAGCAAAGCATATTTATCATAGAAGAATACTCGATAAAATGTGTTTTAATTTAATTTTTGCTTTAGTTATTATTCGAGTTATAAAAAAAATGTTTTGATATACTGCAACATTTTGAATGCTTAAGAATATTTTAAATATCTGGAATAACAAATTTTAAACATCTGGAATATAAACGCTTTCTCTTAATCTTCATCGTCGCTGATTATTACGCGAGATGTAGGTCGCTCAGATCGCACGTTAGGCAATGATTCTTCATCATCGCTAATTATTACAGGTGCGCCATTTGCCTCGGTATAATCATTTCTTAGTGGTTCTGCCTCTTCGTCACTATCGAGTAATCGACGTTTCTTAGTGGATGGTTTATCCGTATCAGATGAAGAATCAGCTCTATCTCTCTTTACGTCGTCTATAAAATGATATGGAAATTTACGGTTAATGCGAGACCAACAAAAAGCATCGATCGATTCCTATTTTTTATCAGCATATGTTACTGACCGTTCTTATCATCGACGTCCCTTTCAATTTCCATTTCCGATTCGGAGGAGTCGTTGAGTATCCTTACTCGGTTTCTCACGTTGCCTGTGTTTTCTAAAATTTTATGTTATTGCGAATGCTATTAATATTGTGAAAAATTTAACTTGATAAATTTATTTGTCGGTAAACTTGCGATAAGGAAACAGTTTGCTGGCTCGAATAACAGAGGGCGAGAAAATGTTATTTTGTGTCCCTTGTTCATTAGAATAACTGAATTAATTAATACCTTTGTGCGCTTTTACTGGGAATTCCGTTTCATCCTTTTCTTCTATTTCTATAGCTTCTGCTTCATCACTTTCTTCGTTTAATGTCAATAATATTTTGGATTTTTGTGATAACTGAATTTTAGTAGATCGTTCCGACTGTCCGGAAGTCGACGGTTCTGGTTCTAAAAAAATATATATATTTTGATAGATTTCTATACATTATATGTACGAAAATAAGAAATCGTATATTTTAATATAGGCTGCATAATAAATCTCAATTTAAAAGGACTTTTGGAATTTTAGTTGATATCCAAAGAAATAACTCATAAATTTTAATTTCAATGTATCAATAATAATTGTCTTTCAGGAGGCTCTGAAAATATTTCACGATAACATGCAAAATTATAACGTTACATATTTTCTTCCGATAAAATTACCATATAAAAAAATCTAATTGCACTGACCTCTGGGCGCAAAGAATTTTTTCACATTCTCGAACACGTTGGTATCGTCTTCACTGTCGTCCACCCTTTCATCAATCTCGGAATCTTTACGCGTTTCTATAATAAACTTTCGTAAATAATCACCATTTGGACTTTATACCCGTATTTGCTAATTCACTTACCCTCGACAATGAATTCACCGACTAAAGCGTCTCCGATGAGTTTGTAACGTTTCTGAAGCGTGGCTGTAAGCATATTCGCCGGGATGCGCCAATAAGATTCCTGGGCATCAGCCGGTGGCACAAATCCCATGGCGTGAAGAAGCTTTTGAAAACTCGGTGAATCCATCGCGGACGCCGAGTAATCTGTCAGCGGCACCAGGGGTATGCCCTCCGAGCTCTCCTCATCACGATCGTCCAGAACGTCTTGCAGGGATTCCTTGATCCATTCCAACGCCTCTCTCATGTCTGATTTAACGTGACATTTTTTCCCCCCCCCAAGAGATTTTCCAAATTAATTAATTTTCTTTACCGGCTCATTTTTACGATTAGAGTTAATTACGCGTTTTTTGTTCGGTTACTTTCATGGTAATCGAGTAATGTCTCGAGAGAGGACGAAATACTTTTGAAATTCTTTTGGACTTTATAAATATTGTAATCAATTACTGTATTATATTTGCATAAATGACGGATGGATTCGCGTAACTGAATTAGATTGATCTCCTAAAAACAAACTTCTTTTTTGCAGAATCCGCGAGACCCGCCGCGTGACATACTCCAAACAGTGACTTGAGAAGCCGTTTTTCCGACAAGTCATCTCTTTTTTCTCCGCATAATGGCTTCTGCAAATCATCGCCGTCCTCCCTTTTCTCCGGCAAGGAGAACATTTATCCTGCGTGAAGGAAACGAGGGATACGTTGCACGCGCCGTACTCTCGCGACAAGTAAGCTTTCATTAATCACAAAAACGCGGATGCACGTCGGAGTGGAGGATGAGCCGGCGTGAGAGGGCAGCGATACTTACCCCTGTCGATGACGTCCTTCAAGAGACCGGATAATTGTGCATCCGTATAAACGATCGTCGGTAGCTTCCGCCTGTTCCGTTGCTTCTTTTTCGTCGGCTCCTCGCTCCGCCGGGGTGCGCCGCCGCGCTTCGAGGATTTTCGAGTTTCTTCGCCGTCTTCGTCGTCGGTGGCTGAACTTTCGTTCCCGTCAGAATTACTGGCAGCTTGCGTTTCCCACGACGATTTACCTTTGCGCACAATGCATGGAAACGATGTGAACCTTTCTCGAGCGGAGCGTTCATCAGCGTGTATAAAGCGCGCCGTGCAATGTCGCGCGTGTATGTATAGGCGAGATGTTTTATATAACATTAAATAAATCTCGTATATAATATATATTAAAGAACGTATAAAATCTATAAATTTAAGCTTTCTTTTTTTTTCTAATTTTTATACAAAAATACGAGATAAATCTGAATAATCCCACACGATCTAAAATTATTTATCTTGAATCTTCGCGTCTATCGTGTTTAAATCATATACAATTTTCTCTTTATGGAAAAAATGTCAATTTTAACATTTGTCCGTAAGAATTTTAATCGATTAAAAAAGAAATATATATTTTTATGTCGTAGTGTGAATAATTTATGTTACAGCATTCTCATTATGCAGATAAGATGTCTGGCTTGGCATTTTTCTTTTCAGAGAGAATACATTATTATATTTGACATAAATCTGTGAACACTTTCAGAATATTAATTGTGTATATTCTATCATCTATCTATTACAAAAAAACAATTGCATTGTATACAGAATAGTCCCATATGGGATAGCGAGATTGCATCAAAACACGACATTGAGGGAAAATGTTATTTCAAAGAGACACATAAGGTGAACCAAAACTTCTCGGCAATGCTTCATCTCGCAGCTGTATATCTATGATATGAGCTATCTCAATGCATTGAATACAAATAAGGGGCATGAGAGAGGAAAACAATATCCATGATAAATATGAAATTCCTTCCGGCACCATAATAGGAAGCTAAGGCGAGTGATATTGGTCCAAGAGCGGCGAAAGTGCGGCTGGAATTCGCAGCCGATATTAAATAACAAGATTGATATTCCGTGATGATATCGTTATAGGCATCAAATATGAACAACAAAAATAAAAGGAGAGCGTAAATATTATTTCGAGTATTTGAAAAAATTAGATCGAAACGCAAATTTGCTCGAAGAGTTGATAATGTATTACGTATGAAAAAAAAGAGATGTAGAAATATGTTCGATCTTTATATCTAACCATATTTTTTTTTTTTTATAAAAATTGAATAGTGTGTAACGTATCGTTTGCCATGATTTATCACTTGCAATTTTATATCTTATAATTTATCGCAACTATTTTCTGTTTTATGAGAGAGAAAATATGTTCTGAACTCGGTAAAAAGAAATTCAAGATTATTTATTAATTCTGATATATTGGAAACGTAAAAGTGGTGTTTATTATTGTTTCAACTGCAAATAAATCTGTGCTACGTTTCGAAAATTGATTATATTATCTGTTACGTAGCTGCGGAATACCACATGATATAAATGTTTAGCAGTTCAATAAGTTTAAATCACTACAATAGTACTCGGTTAGCAGCGCATTCCGATTCTATATTAATTTCTATTGCGCAAATTGTTGGATAACCTGTTGAACAAATAGGAATTTAAATACTTTAATAATTTAATAAAAATACATAATAATGTTTAACATGATTTTAGAAATTGCATAATGCCTTTGGCGTAATTGGATACTAATGGATACCTGTATTTATAAATTAACATTTCTTATTCGCAGTTGAAACATTTTGTGCTAAAATCAAGATTTTATTAAAATATTGAACTCTTTAAACGCAGTTTAACATTTCTTCATATCTTCGTAATATTGGAATTGAAGACAAGAACAACTCGCACAGATAAAATACACATAAAAATTCTCGCGGACTCGCCCTCGCTTTACTCGCGAGAAATAAAGAAGGAAAGCAGAAACGATCTTGCAAACATACGAGCGGACTTGTCTCTCCACTGGTAATATCGAGGAAAGGTTTTTTTTTCCTTCCCCGGTTCGTAAGAAATCGGGGATAGGAAAGCGAGAAGAATCCTGTACAAATTGATCTTTACTCCTTCTCGCTTCCTCCCTCGCGCTCTCTCTCTATTTCCACGTCGCGTCGTTTCGCTTTCCCCGTTGAAAGCGAGTCGCTCTATGCAGTCGCCGGCAATCGCGTTACTAGAAGACTGATCGAATGGGAATAGTCGCGGAATCGGAGGATAGTAAGAAAGACAGATGCGAATGGAATGGGATGGGATTGGCCGGAACAAGGGATGCTCCAGACCGGATCGTGATGAGGGAGGAAGAACGAATAGGTATACTCACCCTGGTTGCTTTTTCTGGACCGCTTTTTGCGCAGCTCCTTGCGATCCTGCGCCAATCCTAATTCCAGAAGCTTCTCCTTGATCTTCGGCTTCGGCCGCTTTATTCTAAGTCCGGTGAAAATCAAATCCACGGGATCTGTCGGGGGACATAGCGTATATAGTTTCGATTTTTATAGCACATCGTCAGGAAGCTATACGACGCGAAACGATAGGGAGGCTTCTTCGTGGAAGAGAATCGCGCGCGAGGGAAAATTGAGACGACTGTCGGAGATTTTGAAGGGATTTAAAGTTAAATCAATTAGAGCTTACGGAGGGACACGGACGGACTTTATCTAAAGGGGCGGACTTTATTTCACGTCGGCGAAATGTATTTATAAGTCAATTGGACGTCGCTCTTTACGGACTTATAATTTAACTTCTCGGAAGATTATAAGATACTTTATACGTATAAACGCGATTTCCCCGATATTAAGCGTAAACTCGTGTTCGAAAGATTTGTTATAGAACAAATTTAATTTAAAAAAGAATTATCTCTCTTGCGAGACGTGCATGACATTTTTGCGGATACTTTTGTCTGGCCGTTGGGACTTCTAAGGTTAACAACCGCAGGGTTAAGAACACGGCGGGATAAAACACTTTGCGGACATTTTTGAAGGGGAAGCGAAGAAAAATGCCCTTGACATTTCGTGGACATCTGAGAATTACGCTTGGCGTGGAAGCGACTTCGGAGATTAAAAGTTATGGAGAGCGGCGAATTCGTATGAAAATGAAACAAGTTTTACAAGACTTTTCTGAAAATGTCTCTGTCAGGAAGGATATTATTCTTCGTTCATTCCAGCGGATTCGAAATTATTACTACAAGCAGCCAAGCGTGTCCGATGTTCGGAGCTTAATTAAATCCTAGGAATCGTTCCGGTGTTAACGAATTCTCGCACGAATTTCGCATTCGCGAAATATTTCAACAGTTTCGATACGCGAATAACCGGCTAGAATTAACGCTGAAATTTATGGCGAATTTCTATCGCGAAAATTTATATCGGGAATTGGGTTAAGGCCATTTTTGGCGCGTATGATTCGCGGATAAATTACAAATTACGATAAATGGCAATTACTACAATATGCTGCCAGAAATTTATTATTACTGTGCCATCGAGTTGTAAACTTTATTTCTTTGTTCCATTATCCGTGATTAATAATTGCAATTAATTTTGATAATAATTTAATAGCGTTAAAAACTAACGGGCAGAAATATGAATAAATGAAAAAATCCCAAAGTCAATCGTCCGATCAAAATTATACTTTCAAGAAATAGAAAAGAAATTAGAAAATATCATTATTAGAAATTAGCTTGAAGAAAGTAAATTTAAAAAATTACCATCATCGTCCTTCAACTGTGTCCAAAGTTCCGTAAGCTGGGCGATTTCTTCCTCAGACCACTCCTTAGGTAATCTCTTTTGTACCTCAGCTCGCACGCTCTAATTAATTACGAGATTTAAGAAAATGGGTCAGACCACGTACGTCGTTTGCGATGAAAAAAGATAAAAATATTTTATATCCACTTTTTTAAATTGCCATAACATTAGACATGATTACGATCATTACTCAACTTTTGTAAGGTAATCAGTTACGTGAGTAAGTCACTATACAAAATATAGTAAAATATAGTAAAATATAGTAAACTTATATTTTGCATTTAACATTGATTCAGCGATAATTAATCAAATGGTTAAATAATTAGAACAATACTGAGACTCGATAAAGATATCGATGAATATCGATATCTTTATAAATAAATAAATTAGCACCCAGCTACTCAACCCCTATAATCTCTTCGGAAAGCACTTTGCGTGCGCATAATTTTCAGGTTTGATAGAGACAAAGCGTCCCGTGTATAATCTCTCTGTGTGTGTGTGTGTGTGTGTGTGTGTGTGTGTGTGTGTGTGGAGAAGCTTCTAAGTCAGTAGGCGTATTTAAAAAGAAGCTGGGTCGCTCGTTTTCCAGCGATTACACTCCACCCTTGGCGAAACGAGGCACCTAAATGGCCGTCAGAGCAATATCGCGCGACTTCCCGAGACTAAATGAATGTCAAATGAATACTCGGCCGTAGTCTCTGCTCCGACCGTATTCTCTTCGCTCAAAGAGACGAAACGTACTCACGCATGAAATTATTTAAATGAAACGCTTCCGCGGTTAAGCTTTTCCACCGGAAGATCTCGCGAAGGAATCGATAATACGTCGGAGGAAACGTTTCCGCTGACGTAACCACCCTCTTTTCGCCGGCGACTGCACGCTTGTGATTAATAGCGAATTAAGATCGGAGGGGAAACGAATATTTTTTCTTCCCTCTTCGGTCACGGCTGGTTAATGTCGTGAAACATTATCGAAAAATTAATCATACTTCAGGCTCGATTTTTTTTGACAAAACTCGTGTCAAATGTGTTTCGCTTAAACAAGATAAAATTTCAGTAAACGATTGAGAAGCATGTATCTTCAATAAAAACCGCAAACGGTCGATCAGCGTTTTATTTTAAAATAATTATTGTGACCTGCTGGCGTTCAAAAACGCTGACGTCTTTCAAACGAAAAAAATTTTTTGCTGAATCTCTTATATGTCGCGTTCTATCTGCAAAAAGCGCAGCTGATCGCAAATGGTCGATCAGCGTTTTGTTTTAAAATAATTATTGTAAAGAAAAAAATTTTTTTGCTGAATCCATTATATCGCGTTCCTGCAAAAAGCGCAGCGGAATAAGATCCGGTATTGTGTATTGCATCGCTTATACCTCGCTACGCTTTTTTCCCTTGTTAGAAGCTTCCCTACAAACTCAATTAATTTCAAGTTTTAAATAAGCCGGTAACTAGTTAGTAACTCCTCTGCCGCAATAAGAAGCTTGATTAACGCATTCCCATGCTTTATCACCGTATTGCATCGTGTATTTTCAGAAGAAAAGAGTTATAACGAAGGGAGCAAGGAACGCTTACAAGCGTAGCAAGATTAATATACTTCTCGGAACGTTTCTTTACGAAATGTTAATGATTTGGGAAAAAAATAATGCAGCGTTAGTTCTACGGTTAATTAACATCAAACATTCCCGAGAGTGTATGAATCTATTGTAGTTAGTTTGTGCCGAACTATTTTATGAAGTAAATAAAGTATTTCATATCGCTCTCGCGCTGTTGAAACGAAAGTTATAGAACACCCGCTCATCACACAGCGCATTTACAGTTCAACAAACACAACAAAACGCTCGGGTCACGTTCCCTTCGCGTTTTCGTAGCTCGAAGGGTGATGCAAATGTTTATACGTATATCGTAAGGCAGAAGGCAAACAAAACGATAGCTTTTCTCAAGGAACCGCCTGTTTTAAGGCCGCCGGAGTTGACGAGGGGGTCGCACACACAGATATTTTCCATGCTCGGGGAAAGAGACTACCGGCACCGAAGGAACACGCAGCTCGCGTCAGAAACCTCACGCAACGGTAGAAGGAAGAGAAACGAAGGAGCGAGGGTGGAAATGCCTCGCCCCGTAGAGAGGCATTGTCTCCGGAGAATTTACAGTTCCTGCAGCAATTCCTAGCTCCATTTTTTGCATATGTTCACCCCGCCAGCAGAGGTAGTCTAGAAACTTATTTTCGAGGCCGGGCGAACGGCCCCTCTCTCCGTCGTTTCCAAGATTCTCGTAAATCATTGATCTTGTCAGACGAAGCACAACGGGGATTGCCGCGGGGCACATGGATGAATCGTTACTTTTTTAGCGGAGAGGTACAGAAATTTGTTTGCTAAATCTTTTAAGGCTGTTTCCCCACGAAAGAAATATTACGTTAAAATAAATAAATTAGTATCGAAAAAGATTCGAGATTGTTTGTTCCTTTCAGTGCCTAAAAAACTATGTTGTAATTGCGAGAAAAAAGTAAAACTGACCTTAGAATTGACAATCAGACACATCTCCTTGAGTTTCTTGATGATGGTACGTCGTGTTCTATTTTCATTGATGACATGCTCCAATATCCAATCAATTAAATCTATAAATTTACAATAACGTTACAGTTATGAGATGACACGAGTGATTCAATTCTGTATCTAGCTCGTATTTTCCTTGTTCTTGGATATTTAACAGTAAATGGAAATACTTTTTATCAATTCAGATAACAGTTAAATCTTAAAAATTGTAAATTAAACTAAATCAGTCATATTCCTTGCATCTTTGTTTATATTAATGAGCAAAAAGTTGTATATTTTGAGCACGTTCTTGTGAAAGGCTCTAATTTATCGAGTTCAACGATGTGTGCACGAAACTCCTCTGTGAGAAATGGACGATATAAAGAGTTTACCTTGAGGATATTTGTTAGTCTGATGCTCCATGAAGAGGGTACGCAGCTCATCCTCTTCCGCCTCCGTCCAGGTCGCTCGTGAAACTTTCTTGTTAGTCGTTTCCGCATTGTAGCCATCCACGATTTCTGTCGCGTCGCGGGTAGTCTTCCAGAAGAGCAGCTCCATGTACGACTTCCGGTTCTTCTGGGCGACTTCGATGAAACGGCGGATTATGAAGACCGCGAACTTTTGGAGCTCCTAAAGCAGGAATCGATTTTTCTGGTGCTCGACGAGTCCACTTCTGTGGACCATTAAGCTCGATACAAGGATGCAATAAAAGCTTGGTGGCAAAATTTATCGCGCGATACAAGAAAAGAAAAGAATTTTTATCGCTAGCTAAGAAACAGCAAAGTCTTATCTATGTTCTTATTTCTTATTATGTGCGAAGAGCGATAAAATGTATCATCGTAAAGGAAAGAAAATCTATCGGAGGAAAATATTGAACTGGACAATATCAAAAGTGTCATGTTAACGACTTCGCAAACTTGTAAAATATAAAGTGTAATTATTGCAGTTAGCTATATAATTTAATTTAATTTATTCCCTATGTTTTATTACCTTATGTGCAGGATCCTTCGACTCGAGGATTCTTTGAAAAGTCCGAAATATGGACGCTTGAAATATCATACCCGGCATTTTGTAATCCCAAGCAATCCGATGTAACATTTTTGTTATATAGTGATTTACTTCGACTGTGTTGTTTTCGAATTGTTGCATTAGTAGTGCTAAAGCCTTGACGACTTTCACGTTGGCGAACCTTCGAATAGTATATTACTTTTTACAAAGATACTATCTTATGTTCTATCGTATATAGAATATCTTGATTCACTGAATCAGAATTTCTTTTTAACAGATCGTGATAAAAGAGTTTCAAAAGTGCAAACAGATAATAAAATCTTACTTCTGTTGAATTTCAAATGAAGAACAAAACTCTAGAAACTAAATTTTAACCAAATTTTGAAATTCTAATCAAAATAATTAATGTTCAAGAGCAGATTGTCGAAAATATAAAAAAAATTGATTAAACGATTTATAAGTAAAAGACTCGACAGATCTAGGATACTCTACTATTAGCAGAGTACAGCATTATCGCACCTTTGAAGAAATTCATCCAATTTAAAGTCAGTTTCTTGGAAAATAGTTCCTCCCTCTTCTTCTTCATCATCTTCATCCTCTTCTTCTTCATCTACATTAAAAATATTATTTATACGTATTATATATCTATATATAATAAAAATATGTAGGCTGAATGTTAATATCTTATTAAAAAAGTCGATATTTATTCATTTACCTTCTTCACGGTTTGCAGAATTTTCAGTCTCTTTATCCGCGTTTGTTTCCTGAACGACGATCTGATCTTCAATCACTAAAAATAAGACATATACTGTTGTTAGGAAAAATATCAAACTCTTTTATTAATTGAATTATCAATAGTCTATTATTTCTTTCAGGGTTGGTGATCTTTATCGTTATTATATTATAAAAATTCTGAAGATAATAATAATTTCGATATGTAGATCGGAACATATAAATATCCTTTAAAAATACATCGCTAAAACATTTTAAGTCATCGCCGAGAAGTTTCCCCTGAGCGAGTTGTTGCCTAAAAGAAAGCTTTCTACCGCCCCGAAGAATTCAGTTTGTCCAAGTGACGGTGACGGTGGTGCTATTTCAGCTTAAAGTTTTAATTGTCTCTTCTCCGCGGTCTGCTCAACTCGAAACAGTAATTCGAGATAAAATAAAGCGCTCGTCCGACCTGCCGTGTTTTTATCTCGGATTTTTAAATGCTTCATCCCCGTTGATGTATTAAAAGTGTTAAAGAAAACTTTTGCTCTCCTGGCGTAGTATCTAGTACAATCCCAGTTCTTTGATAGATTCCTTAAGAAACTTTTCTTTCATTCTTAGACAAATTTTTTCGTTTCTGAATAACTACATAGAACGACGGAAATGAGGATTCTCGTGACTAGATGTCAAGACAGATTTATATCTTATTTTTATGTTTATTCTTATAAACAAATTTTTTTTCTTTCCTTTTTCCGCAGGTCTTAAAAATTTCATAGACCCTGGGTAAAGTAATAATGCTTATACGGCGATGCATACTTTTAAAACTAGTTTCAGAATATGCATCGCTCGCGCTTTAAGTATCGCTTTATAAAAAGAAAAAAGTAATCTCAACTTTTATCTTTAACGTAATTTGGCAAGAAGGGAGAGATAACTTCTTCCGTGATTATATTAAATTGGCAGAATCGCCAAATATAGTCGAAGAATTGCACGTTGAGCGTGAGAGTTACCGATTTTCAAGCACGATCAAACGGCGAGAAGAGCTTGAAGCAGCTCGTTGCGTTCAACTATCGATCCTCCTCCGCAATTTCTCCGCGATACCTTCCCACGTACGGCGTGTATAAGGGTGCACATGTATACGTGCGTGTGTATGTACGTGCGTTCCTATACACGCATATATGCAAAGAAGATCGGCAACACGTGGTACGGTCGCACGAGCTCGTTAAGCGGTTAATACTCACGTTTCAACACTCTTCATGCATGCAACTTGCATACTTCGTGAATTAATTAACCACTCATCGTTCGCGATCACGCGGAAGAGGAAAAATATTGCGTTTGCGGTTTTCAAATACAACGTCGTTAAATTTTGCAGCTGTACTCTCCGACCAATTTAAAGTCGATTTTTTTTCATGCTCTAAATCTATTTTTTATCCGCAACGAAAAATAGTTGCACAGTAGTGGCGAACTATTCTACATTTGTACACATTTGTTCTCTTATTTTCGAATTTACAGGTTGCCGAACTTTCCTCGTTAGTCACTCTGTCATCAACTTTTTACGTCGAACATTTTCATCATGTTGAAGTGAATAAGTACCATACATTACGAGGTTGATATTCGTATTACTGAAATAACAAACACGATGAAATACGCGAGCGGATAAAAACTACAATTTAAACAAAATTTCAAAAAAATACCTCAGTTGAGTCAAGTCTTTTTACGAATATAAGTAACTCGAATATATGTGACAAATATATATATAACTCAAAATAATGCGTTATATTTCCCATTTCAACTTGACGAAAGTCTAAAGTATTGCAGCAAGTGTGAAGTAGTAAGTTGTTTGACGCGAATTTCGACGCGAGTTCGTCCGATTTGTTGAAGTAGTCCAATACAGATTCGTGCTTCAAAACAAAGACACGCTCGGACAAGCGATATCGCTATATATAATCATAATTGTAAATTAATTTGATCGACGGCGCGTAACATCCGGACAGTAATCCCTCGTTAGACTCGAGATTGCGACGCTCTTCCTTGTCATTAAATTAGGCATTATCGTGGGGGCGAAGACGAGGGGCGCATTATGCGATTGTATTACCTGGGTAATAAGTGTTGTCTAACGTACATAGAGTAGCTAGGTAAATGAGGTTGCAGGTGGTATATCAGAAGTTGGGTGGTTGAAAATAATAGAGACAGGGGCTGGGGGAAGACAAGGGGGAAGGGAAGGATGGCGGAGGATAGGAGTGGATGGGTTTATCACGGCTGAGACCAAAAGCCCTGGTGGTACGCTACCTCGATGTAATTTGTGAAGAGATAATAACCGTCGTCCACGGGAGTACCGTCGCGGTGTTGAAGAATATTTTTTATTTGTATTACGTATTGCATTTAAAAAAGGCAGTCTCCGATGGAATTAAGGTCTCAACCCAGCGATTTTCGCCGAGCACGCAAAACGGTCGAATATTGAATACTATAGAGAGAGAAAAGATCTTTCTCAGAGTTTAATAATGTTATATCGTGTATACGCATTTTTAATAAAGCAAGTTTGCCGATGATATAAAAATCTGTAATCGTGAACGATTTTTGCCGAGGTCGCGGACTGCCGATACCTACAAGCACTTCAGTAATCGCCTAAAACGACCAAAAATCGAATCTCATTGAGAGAAAATTTTATCCATTTTATAGTATTTCATATTACAATTATTATTCTCTCTTGTAATTTTCGTTGCTTCTGCATAATTTTCAACCGTAAATACAAAGTGGTATTTTACTCACGGACATCCACATTTACCGTAATGCATAATATTTTTTTTCATGAAAAATGAAAAGTTAACAGTAGACTAGAAAATGAAAAATTAAAAGATAAAGTTTTCAACGATGGGCATATAAACCGACTTTCTCGGTAGCAGGAAGTTTCAAATTTAAAAGCAGCGCAAAGCAGTCTCGTAAACCACTGCTTACTTGCAGTTTGATAAGACTCGTAACCCACTGGATGAATTAACCACGGTGGAGTTACTTTACTTCTCAAAATCGAAGAAGAGCTATTCCGGTGTTTTACAACGTTCACGACGAATTCATTATTGCGAGAAGATTTCACATCCCTGGGATTTACGACGTTGTGAAAATTGCGGAAATTGTAATCTTGATAACCTACGTCTCGTTCCTCCGTCGCACGGAAATCCACTGATATTTTTGAAACGAGGAAACGTCCACGGACGACGTTCATCTTTCTGTAATTTCGAGAGACGAAAAAAGAAAAGATGCTGACATTTCCTCCGTCTTATCCTGCATTGCGTTTCCCTTGTTTCGCTTTGCTTAGATCGATGAAGCGGAAAAAAAATTCTAGACTGGATGGCTGGAAAAAGAGTATGCAAGGGAAAAACCACGTTTTGAAAGAAGAAATGCATTTCAAGTTACATTACTAATACTTCATTCAATAAACATGAACGGAATAGTAATTTCTTCTTCTAGTATTCTGTAAGATAAAATCTTCAGATATATACATTTCTCTTAAAATACAACTTTTGCATACACGCAACAACCAAAGGCATCGTGAATAGAATATTTCGTTGAAGGACAAAATTCATTATCGATAAATTTTGATTAAGCTAGTTAAACAGAAAATTGCAATACAATTATATGCAATACGATTTCTCAAATAAAATATCGTTTCTCGCAAATGAAATTCAGTTGCAAGAGATCTATCTGGTAGTTTTTATACTAGAAATGGGGTCACTTGCGGTATACATTTCGAAAGTTATTTCTCTATACGTGCCGGACAGGGGAAAAAACTGACAATTGACGAGGGCGATGACCGGTCAAAGGGAGGAAAAAAACGGCTTTGTGTCCAACGACCGCATATGAGATAGTAACAAGGAGTCAGTGGGGTCGATCGAGGTGTTTATAGCGGTTTGACGTTGTAGACCTAAACTAAGTCCGCAACCTGCGCTGACCCGGCAAGCAACCCACCCCGGCATTCCCGGCAATTCCTTTCCGTCCCTTCTTCAACCAATCTGCTCGTAGCTCGACGCGCCCAGTCGAAATTTCGGTATTCAACGATCGTCACAGTCCGGCGCTATTATTAGGCCGGTAACTACTTATTCAAACTGGATCGCTCGAAACGCCCACCTTTCTCCGTCGGTTGTTGTTAACGCGATCACGTCCTCCCCAGCGAAGTCCCTCGCCTCAATCTCCTCGCCGCTACCCATTCTGACCTAGCCTTTTTCCGTAACGATGCAGCTCGGATCTCTCCTCTCTTCCATGCCTTTCGCCCTTTTCCTTTCTTCCGCCCTCGCTCCGCATCTCCCCCTGCACCGTCCGCGCTGACGTTGTTTAGATGCAGTTTTATTGTGCCCCTAGGGTTCGTTGCCGCACTCCCGGAAGCGTACATGATGTACGCCGAGCAATTCCTGGACCGGAGGAATAGCGAACGAGATCGCAAATATACAAGCTTTGGACGACATATCTCTTCCGCATTTCGAGAGACTCATTCGTCTCGTAACGAGAAGTAAAGGAGGAAAGGGAAAGAAGGGGAACGCGCATGTGTACGAAAACGACCTGCCAGTTTCATAATCCGTAATATCTCATCATTTGTTATAATGCGCAATGACATATCTCATTAATGTCAATTTTCAATCATCACTAATTAATTATTGGTAATATAATCGATGATAAAGAGACGTTTTAGAAATTATAGATTTTTGAATCTATGTAATTTTAGATGTAATTGAAAGCATCTTTGTAATACCTTGCACACGTGACATGATATTCAGATAAAAATACTTTGTCAAGGAAAGCGCGCATTACGGGCAAGCGAGAAGTGCTTACCTATGCATGCATTATGGTAAACGCATGAATATAGAAAAAAAAGGTTGCGTTCGTAAGGGAATAAAATTTTCCGTGTGAAACATTACATTACGCTCACTCGTTTAAGCTTTCATTCTATCGTAAACTCGGCAGAAAATTGAGATAGCCAGAAGGCACGCGGCACGCATAGAAACAGAGCCGCCTATTAATTATTTATAGTAATGTGATATTGATCCGTCTGGCTACCTTCCACCGGATTGACCGTTGCTAAAGCCCCATATGTAC